CCTTTCCGCGAACTCAACGCTGAGCTATATTTTGTACGCGTTGAGCGTCTTATAACGAGCGCATGCGAGGAAAAAGAAGAAAAAAAAGGCGAATCGGGTTAGTGGGGTCTCCTACTAGCGCCGAAACCCCATGTAAAATCATCCAAACAAGGAGATTACCGAAAGCTTCTTAAGTGAGCTTTCGTATCGCAGCACCAAAAGCCAGCAGGTAAAATTGAACACGTGGTGTAAAAATCCAAAGTCACGAGAGGATCAGCTGTTTGGAACCCTCGTGGCTCCCACTGAGTAATGCACCTATGTACATACAGGTGCGAGAAACGCATCGGTGATCGCGCCTCCCCGCAATCACGATGCTTTCGAGCGATTGCAAGCCCATACACGTCATAAGCGTACACGTATAGCTCTCGTTTTTCTTATCTCGTTCGCGCTTGTTTCGTTACTTCAAACGCGCCCACAAGGTATTCTATGTATTATTCCATGAACATAAATCAAGATTACGACCGTAGTTGCGAACTCATACGTCTATTATAATATCATACTATTCTTATTACTGTGATTTTTTTTTTTTCATCCAATTGTGTACAATTTAGAAGCGCTACGGTACTACGATTCTTTTTACAGTTAAAACTCGCTAAAGTTGGTCCTTTCTGTAAAAACTTGATGCATATTTCCAACAGCAATTCTAGAATCCAAAACACCCTCACTCTCTCTCTCTCTCTCGGCTGTAGCAAACTCAATTTCGAAAAAAGAAACGTAAAATACGGAATAAGTCTCTCATGTTGTAACGAGCCCAAAGATCCGCGGTCGCTGCAGCCTCACTGCACGTGAGAGAAGAAGAGGAGGAAGAAGAGGCATCAAGCAAAATAAGCGTACAGGAGAGACAGAGGAGCCAAGGGGAGAGCGCATGCATGTGTAGCGGTATGTATAAATACGTGCGCGCAATGGGCATTCGCACGTGCGGTGCCTATACTATACGGACTCTCTTAACGGGAACATCAGCACGCGCGCGAGAGCGATCGGCTCGAGATAGGGGATATATCGTTATAAGGAGGAAAAAGCGGGAAATCTCTCCCGAGATGGAGATAGAGAGAGAGTCGTTCTTTTTTTTTTTTTTTTTTTTCTTCCAAGGATAGAGAGTTTTCGGAGCTTATGGATCGAGTCAGTGGAGATCGAGCGTGCATTGGGGTGTATGTGCTCCGGAGATGCTGTGTGTAGGTGAGATCGGTATGCGCTCTCTCCCCCCTCGTGAGTGATGATAGAGAGAGAAAGAGAGAAAGTTTGATACGGAATCGAGTAGGCTATAGACGATAGAAGCCTGTGGGAGCTGTAGCCCCGTGTGGTGGAATGTCGAAGTCTTTGAATTTATATTCGGCGGAATCGTGGCTTTGGTACATTATGCAGGGCATACAGAGAGAGATCATTCACGCGACTCACAGATAAATATGTTTATATGGTATTTTTTCCTCTCATGGGTACAATGTACTATGAGCATGGATGGAATCTATAGAATCATCCTATAGCCAAATAACACATTATGTCGTAGGCACGGCCCCGCTACCCTCGAATACTTTACTACTGAGTTACCATTACAGCGCTACAACACGTTAAACACGAATAACAATGATAAAGTAGAAAATCGAGCTATTCTACGTAAGTGTAGAATCACATTTCATCTCAGGCGCTTCCGACGTATGATTATCTTATGTATCGGCGATAGTGGCTTGCTTATCGAGCGCTGACCAACGTCAATGACGAGTCCGCGCATTATCGGCTTGTGAAATAAAAATCCTGTGAATAACAAGGCACGTATTGTTTCCAGCAACTCTTTTGTTCTACCAAATGTAAAAAAATAGACACCCTCAAAACCACATCGTAAATGGAGCAAAGTACGCCAAAATAGAACGAGCATAGTTACGTTGGCGGAACAAGTACGTTGTCCTTGACCTTGTTGGCGGTGCTGTTGAGTAGCTGATTAATTCATCGTACACTCGAGTCATACGCAGCGAAGATGAGGCTAGCCTTGGAGCTTGCCGATGGGAGAGTGCGTCCGTGAAGAAAGAAAAAGGAAATCTGGTGGTGTAAGCATCTTGAGGGTGCAGCTGGTACTTTTTTTCTCGAGTTCCCAATGCAGTGCTTTGTGTCTGTAGGTTATCACAACCACTCCACCCGAGATCCTATTGTATTTTCTATACTGGATTCATGAAAACGAAAAATCATCATCAGGTTTTCACAGTCTCTCTCTCTCTCCTAAGTATCAGCGTTTTACCGATTGCAAAATAGGTATATAGGTACCGATTTTCTGGCTGAATCCAAACTGCACTCTCTCTCTCTCTCTCTCTCTCCCTATCTTTCTTGGCACAATCCTCCTCCCTCCTCCCGTAGGCACTTTATTTACGTTTACGCTATTTTCCGAGCTCTCATCCTCGTGATATTACGGAATCGCAGGAGCACAATGTAGCATTGTGCCCACCGCGAATACATCCGCGGGCGCGCGCGTTCGTGGAGCCTAAGGCAGTTATCTTTGACGCAGCTACTTTATTGCCGATCGAAAGATAGTAATCTCGCGGTGCTACCGCGAGCAGTATATACACAACAACACATATACAGAGCGGAATTGAACCTTTAACGTCGCCTTGAGAAGCCGATTGTATCTCTCCCTTTCTCTCTCTCTCTCTCTCTTTCCCCGATGCCACGGAGATGCCCTCGCTCGCGTAAATTATCTCCGTCTCTCTCTGTATGCTCTGGGCTCTGTTTTGTTTTTTCGACCCCCGATGCCGCGTCTCTTTTATTTTTACTCCATTACCCGAGTTGTATATTCCCTGACTTTCTTTCCGCTGTACGATTTGCCGCTCCGATCGTTATTGAATTACAACGAGGAAATGACGTTATCGAAGGAAATCCACGGGTATGGTACATTATAGATTTTCGTGCGAGACGCGATTCATCGATATTTACGAGTGTTCCGCAGAATCGAGCGTTTGAGAGGAGAATCCATGGGGTAAAACCTTAATTAATATCTCGCTACTGCAATTCAAACGATTGACAGCTGAAAACATCTGATTTGATTAATTTCATGAGGAAACTCGAGTGATTTATTGCAATGGAAAAGTCTATAGCACTTTTACTTGAGAGCACTGCAAGCTCTAGAGTCTAGTATAGAGATCGACAGAGGAAAGAAAATAGTTAAAGACGTCTACTGATGTGCGACTTCAGTATTCTACAGATCTACATGAGAGCGTCGCTCGCTTTATTCAAGTGACATTACCATTTAGAAATTTTAATACGTAGGTAGGCACTCTGTCGCAAACCGTTGTGTGCGTTCATAAATCAGCAGCATTGGTAACCCAAACACCATATATCTGTACGTATAGGTACAGCTTCCGCCGAAGAGACGAATGTCACCTAGGCACGCCAAAAGAAAATAAAAAAAACAGCCTTCCTCCTCACGCTCTTGTGTAAGTTATACGTGCAATATAAACGGGACAAAACGTGGCGTGCAGGCGCGAGATAGCGGGCACCGATTAATTATAAATAATTAGCCAAGATCTTCCTCGTCATTTTTTTTTTCCTTTCCTATCTCTCTTTCATCTCGAGCCGTGTGCGATAACGGTGTACCTATGTATGAATCCACCGTGAGGACGCCCATTGTCTGAAGAATCAAGGCTTGGCTCACGCGATATGTTTGTATCATACAGACGGAGGGAAGAAAGGAGAAGATGAGGATCCGCTGAAAGAGAGTAGATATCACGTTGAGCTGGCGGAATTTCTCGTATTTACTGTGAGCGTGTGTGTGAAGAAAGAGGCTGCCTTTGCCATTCATTCGGTTCGTTCATTCATGAACGTATGATTTACATGTGCGTCTTTGCTCTTTAACTGTTGGACTCTGTAGTTTCTTATCGTCTTCCACTTTTACTATTTTTCTTTTTTTTTTTTGGACATCCTGCATTCGTCACCACATTGTTAGTGATGTGATGTGATATACCTTGATTATCCGTAATGGGACACTGTATAACGATTCAAATGATACTGGATTCATGATGTGGATGGTTTTCATTGGATTGCATTTTTTATTCTGGCATAGACTAGTCCATCCAAATGAACGATGAGGAAGGATACGTTGACAGCTTGATGCAAATTTTATCAATGCAATTCGATCAAAAAGTGTTATTACATCCAAACAATGAAGTTCAAACATTTTAAAACAAGTATTAGTTACACTTGAACCGAAGCATAATCGCGATATGAAAATTAAATCTCTTCAAATGCATGTTTAATTAGTATAGGAAGGCGAAAACAGAAAAATAATAAGATTTCAAAATATCATTCATGCATCATACACTTCCCAAAGTCCACATTGGCCTCGAGGATAAACGAGCTCAAAATCCACCCTAATATCCAGCCATCACCTGCACCGATTCATTACAGCACACACGTGCAACTAATCGCTCGGATTGTACAGTCGGCTAAATCTCGTCTACCATACAGTATACCATCCTACGTACGACACAATGAAATATACTTTCGAACAATGTATAATATATAAGATAGGAGAAGAGTAGGAGGAAGGGGCAAAACGTGCCTAACGTGCTTGTTCGAGCCTCGTGAGCTTGAATTTTTTTAAAGAAGCGCTTCGAGTTGATCTTTGCTCCTTCTCCCCCACCCCACCTCTAATTAGACTGAGCACAAATTTCGCCTCTAATTAAGCACGACACTTGGGCTGCTGATGTAGTAGCGTTCGCCGGCTCTAATGAGACACGCGCTCACTTCTGGTTAAACACGTGTATAACTACGGATTCGCGATGCATTTTCTGCCGTCTGTCTTGTATACGTTACAAAAGGTATTATGTATGCAACTTTGTACACCTTGTACACCTGTGCAAGGTTTGATTCATTGCTGTCGTGTCTCAAAATTATGTTATGTGCCTGATTTTTTCCTGTTATTTGTTTATTTTTTTACTAATCTAAAGCTTTTTTCTGTTTTAGAACCCTAAATATTGGAAATGGGTCTCGTGGAGCGTGGCAAGGAGATGCAGGACTTTGATTCTCCAAGGCCCGCGAAAACAAGAGATCTCTTTGGTGTGCAGCTAGAAGTGAGTACAGAACACATTTTCATCCTTTTAAACTTTTGTGGCTAGTGGAACAGTAACTTGTAGGAAAAAAAAAAAATTAGTTTTCAGCGGTACTCCATGCTTTTTGTTGGCTCTACTGGAAGTATAGCTTTCTTTGGTTTTCACCTGTTCTGATGGATAATGACTTTTATGCATTATTTTTAAATGCTGATGCTTCAAAAAAAGAGCTTTTCATTTTTCATGAGGCAAAAACTCTAACTACCCAATAACCTACTGATTATTGTTAAAAAAATTTCAACATATATGTATGCATACACATGCAGGAATGGTAACTATGCGTGGAAAGTATGAACATCCCTTTTACAATAGTGAGCTTCGGAGAAACAAACTAATTGTTTCGTTGTAACTTTGCAAATCGACATGTATTCCGAGATAATATTGTAGATCTAATTGAAATAAAATCTTGTTGTATCATTAATTTTTTTTTTTTGTAAAAATTAAGTCAAGTTAACGAAAATGTCAAGGGTCTATTTATCAGTCATGATTTTACGGACAATGTGTTCAAAATCATTGTACTTGCGAATTTAAAAAAAAAAAAAGTAAAGCTCAAGTTGAAAAATTAAGTAGTCCGAACTGGTTTGGTATAAGTAAAATATTAAATTAACGATAAGTGTTCGAGGAAAGAAAAACGCGGGCCAAAGTGGATTATTATTTTTTACGAAAACGCGCATTTGAGCTGACAAATCGTCGAGAAGAAAAAAAGGTTCTTTACTCCCTTCGCCTCACCCTCGCTTCCTGCCACTCTTTCCATCCGTATTAAGCTAATTTTTCGGAAAATCTTTGCTTCCACTTTGCGAACACGCCACTCGTCCGTGTAATAAATCCCTGCACTTGTCGACGTTCATACGTTTTTTTCTCGCTCTTTTAAATTACTACTTATCTTTTATTCCAACTTCATTAGCAACTAATGAGCAGCCAATATCGCATAAAAGTTAGCTCGCAACGAGACTTGAAAATATAAAAACCTTGAATTAAAATTAAAAACTGCATCAGGATCCAGCCCATAAAATAAAATGCAACTCTTACGCGTAATTGGATCAATGATAGCGGAGGGGAACGGAAAGAAAGTGAAAATCCGGCTCTGGCGCGAGCGCGCGCATGTAATTTCACCTCCAGGCGACTTAGGAGAGCGAAATAGAATATTATCCCGTCGTTACTTCCGCTGTCCGTTTTTCCTTGCGTATGCTCTAGTTGTCCCTCTATTTTTTTTCCAGAGCAAGTGTACGCGCGAGAGGTGACGTGTCGTGCTCTCGTGTATTATGAGTGTCGCCACTTGTAAAACTAGACGGAAAAGCTTATGAAAGGAAAAGAGAAAGAAAAGGTTGTAAGCGTCGCGACAAGTGCGCCCTAAGGACCGCAAGACTACACGGGTCGGCCACTCGAGAGAAAAAGAGCCGACCCAGATATTATGTGACGCTCACACGCTCGTGTACACGTGTGCGAATGTGTGGTATTGACTATTCCTCTGTTTGCACGCTTACAGGTGTTTTTTTTTTTTTCAGAACAACATTGTGGTTGAAAAATACATGTACATGCTATGCAAATATGGTCATGAATCAAAGTAAAACGGAGGAAAAGAGCAATCCATAGTTACGCGCACGAGGTGTGATGAATGTACCTATATAGCTGCTCAGCCGTCAGGCTTTATTGATACAACTTGCGTCTAGGATACGCCCAAATAATGTACACGAAAGTGATGAATAGTTGCACCACCCCCTCGTGCTTCGACCGCGCTATTTTATTAATACTGAAACGTATACATTCATGAGGATGATTTTTACAATTTTTGTACTGCATACATGTATCGATATTGTAAATATACGAACAACACCATTAGTCAGGGCTAACGTAGAGAAGTAAAAAAAGTAGGCATCGGGTGAAGTTTATTATTCGGCTGGGACACAGGTCTCCGTTGCGTGGTCGATAATGCACGTGCAAACGTTAAAAAAGAAAGGAAAAAGAAAAAAAAAAGATACGTGTTCCTCCCCTTCGTTTGATCGCGTCCCTCAGATAAAGCGTGCGCGCAACGCGACAAAATGACAAGCTTCGGGGGGGCTGCACCCCCAGGCCACGGGGAAATTATGTGCCGCTGACGCATGTTTACACTGCGGGGCTGTCCCCCCTTACTCTCTTTTGCTCTTCCGCATATACCTGCCCATTGTGTTTGCCGTGCACGTGGACAAACTCGCGTGCACGCCCCCTTCGTTTTCATTTTTTTTTTTTTTTTTCTACTATTAATTTATGTATTGATGGTAGCTACCGAGGCTTGGTTAGGGGATGAGAGAGCGAAGGATGGCTGTGTAATGGCTCCGGATATGTGTGAGGGGAGAAAAAACGTGAGCTGACGAGGACGATGTGTGGAGGTGTTCAAACGTGGATGGGGAAGGTGTTCTTCGTTGAAATCACGTGTGAGCCCTTGGTTGCTCTGTTTTTAATGGGAACTAATGTAGAAGTTGTTAAATTAAATATGTTTTATTAAAGAAATAGAATTTATACTTTACTGTGCTGGCACAGATTAATATTTTTCTTCCTTGAATAGTTGCTTTTGAACGTCTTCGTTTACCCTTTCGAGCCATGATCAGTTTTAATGTATTTTCTGACTTAAAATATTAAGTATCTGCAGAATATTCAAATTTAAAAGGTTTCCATGTAACCAAGCCAAGTTAACATCACGACCTCCTATTTGTTTCCTGCACAATTGATTGCAGAGCACCGTTAGGAACCTCTACCTTATCGACTTCCGAATCGACAAATAAAAGAGGTCGTATAATTATTTAGTTTTTCAAATCTGTAACAAATTTTGCGTAATATGATCGTAAAAAGAATACAGTTCATACGCATGTTGCAAAAAGTGTTGAATACATTTTTTAAACAGCTTTAAAATTATGGGTAAGCACTTACACTTCGCTCGCTTACCATGAATGTATTTGTGACCAATAAAACACTATAAATGACTTCATTTAGCCGTGCTACTGTTGTTAAACTAATAAATTACGTTATTGAACATCACTACAAGATCGAGAAGTTGTTTTTGTTAAATTCTTTTCTAATGGATTTTATGATGTGTGTAGGGTTGCAAACATCTAGATCGATATTTTTGTGTCGTTAGACCATAGATGAGGTTTGTTTAGTGTTTATATAAAATTTACATAAAAATACTGATCGAGAATTAATATTAACTAATTTTCTATCAACACTTTATGATAGTGGAATGCATTACAAATATAGGTCTATTAAAATATTTAATAAAGTGCTAAACAAACTAAAAAGTTTTGAACACTATAAGACATAAAAAAGAAAAAATTTTTGAAAAACTGGTGCAAAAAGATTATATGTATATGGAAATATCTGAGACTCTACTAAACTATCGTTCAAAAATTTTTACTTATTCGATTAATTTGTAAAAACTACTTTTGTTTTTTGTCTTACTTCTTTTTTTGATTTATGTACTATCAAATTTTAAAAATTTTTAATTATTTTGTTTGCTTTTGTTGCTCAGTACACTACTCCAGTGTAGATGCACATTTACCGCCTCTATGCCAGAATGTGTTGAGTTTTAGTTTTAATTCTCTATTTATGAAAATTTAATATGTTAAACATGAAGTTTTAAAAAACGTAGCTGATAACCATATTCATGTACTTTATGTAGTTAATAAATAAATAATTAAATAAGTTAATCATGTATTGAAATATCTTTTATTTGGCCAAAATTGTATGTTACTACCTAATTAATTTTCAAAAAATTTTTGCTCATAAAAATTCTCAAAAAAAGAAAATCACACAATAACGTACAGAATCTGCATGTTTACTTCCCAAACAAAAATATTAAAAATTTTTGGCTATGAATATTTTCATATTATATCCTTGTATTAAATGGATAAAATCAAGCTTTTAAAATAGATGATAAATTTAAAATCAAGCAGTAGTATAACATATTATTCTGTATGATACTTGACAAACAATCCGAAATTATTTAAAGATATATATGTTTAGTATAATACAAGTGCCAATAACATAAAGTGCTCGAAACAAGATTAAAAAGTCTTGAATTTATGAATATTTTGCTAAAAAAAAAAAAAAAAAAAAAAAAATTATAGGTACAGCCTTGGGTATAAATATCAATAAATATTCGTGCCATTTATACGAAATAATTATATTCGTCACCAAAAAAAGTCCATGTCCAACAGTCGATAAAACTAAATCTAAATCTTTGTATCTGTGTATTTCTGCTGAACAGGTAACGTCGCTGCTGTTGGAGGCCGAACGACGCAAGCTGGCGGTACTGCAGCGCGAGCTACAGGCTGCTCTCGCTGAGGGCGGCAGCGTCAAAGTCAAGGAAAAGCAGCGCCAGGAATTGCTGCACGCCATATCGTAAGCTTTGTAGCTATACAATATGTGCATAATTTTTTTTTTTTTTTTTTTTTTTACTATTGTCTATTTGGTACGGGGAATTTTTTTCAATCCAATGAACTTTTACACACGTTAGCGGAAGCAGTTGAATGACCTTTTATTCGTTGCATCGTTTCACGAACTATTACGGACTGTGTTGCTTTTACAAAACCAATATCGAGTCGAGAATTATATCGAGCAATTGAGCGCTTTGGGGCTTCATTTTTTGTTCACACGGTGGTCAGATCGATCGAGATGGGCTATTTTTGATTTGTTGAGACATAAAAATAGAATTTTTCGGCAGCCACATCGTTTTTCATTCGAGGAAAAGATTTTGTATTTTAGTCGTAGTAGACTTGATGTTCCGATGGGCAATATCCTTTGTCGATTAGGATTATAATCTTCCCTTAGAATTTATGGAAATTGAATAATGGCTAAATTGTTTATGGTTGCAATTTTTTTTTCCCTTACAGAAAAATTCAAGCGCAACATCAGCAGCTGGATAAGGAGTACAGGATTCACGCAGCAGGTGTTCTGCTGTGCAATTCACGAGCCTCCGGAAAGGTGAGTTTATTATTTCTCAATAACTATTATTATTAATTTAAATATGTTGTATTGTTAATTGTTTTATATGTTAAAAGTTAAATTGAATTATATTCAAAATAGTTTTTCGTAATATCGAGTCTGAGTTTCATGAGGGACACCGGAGTATCCTCTTGGATAGTCAAAAGTTTTCCCATCCGATTACCGTACAGCAGAGAGCACTATCCCTAAAAGCTCCTGGCCAAACTGCACGGATCCGTTTATTTCCCTGTCACTCGATCTGATTACTTTGGAAAAAGGCTGGAACCAAAAAAATTTCACCAAAAATTTGTATGAGACACAAATGACATACAACGACATCATCTTGTAGTCAGGCATAACTTATGAGTTGAATCCTAGCTATGAAAAAAGAGCTTCAACTCGCAAAAAAAATTGTTATAGTCTTATAAAACTATATTCTCACTTTCAATTGTACTTGATGAAAGTAAATAATAAATGTAAATGGGTTTTTTAATGTAATGTTTGATGATAAAGTTTCACACAAATCTATTACTAGTTACAACAGTAAGACAAAATAAGATGCATGTTGGGTTTATTTTCGTCTCTATTCAGACAAACGCAAGCCGGAAACATTTGTAGAAATACCCGTCGCACAACGAATAAAATCCTCGATCGAGCTTGCGACAATTCCGTATCTTGTCAGGAGCGTATTGCCGCTAAGTTGCGCCACAACGAAAAAAAAAAGAAAAAAAAAAACGTACGAAGCGAGCGAGCGAGATATTTCATGTCGCTGCAAAGCACTGCGTATTTTAAAATTCAATTTCACTGAATAATTCAACGCACCAGCGCAGCCGCGGTGCTTGCTCGCCTGCACTCTCACAGCTATACAACCATCCTCAGATTGATGGGCGTGATAGGAAAAAAAAAAACTACAATAAAGATGAAGAAATGAAAAAAAAGCTCGACAGTGGTAGCACAAATTTTTCCTTATCTTGATGATGGTCTAGGTGCATGAAGCGCAGCTTATATGACTTGCTGTACGCGATCATCGATCTCTTGGCGCACGCAATCGTACCGCTTCTTGCGTGAATGCGATTTTTTTTCATAAGGACATACACGTGCATTGACGGTGGAAGTGATTCCAATAAGTTATTTCTGGGCACTGAAATATCTCCCATCAATACAACTACGAGATACGGTGAAAATGAACTTTGGGAAACGATTGAAGGTTGAATTTCTGTGCCAGTAAGTAGGAACAAAATATACAGCCTGGTGAAACACCCGGAGTTTGATTTCAAAAGGACTTCTGGATCTTAATGCTGACTGGGAGTTTTTCCACTTTTTCCCTCATAGTTGTGGAATTTCGAAATATTTCTCAGTTCATCCGACCGCAGATGCAAGAGGCGCTCTTTTTTCCCTTCAGGAGAGGTTCTTCCTTATTTTACACTTTCCGTTCGCGCAACCAAGAAATTTTAAATTCAAACGAAAAAAAGGTTATTTACGGCAGTGAGATGAAGAATTTGTAAGTTTCTCTCGGCTTCATCAAATATGAATTTTTCGGTCTGCAAAATACGAGTAGCATACTTATTCAGTAGTAACAGTCAAGTATCGTCAGACACGCGTCTGATTACAATACGTGCGGTAAAAGAAAGCTTTGAATAACTTGTTTCTCAACCGATCGAGCATAGTTCAATTATCAGTGAGAAAGTACACAAAGTTCAGCTTCAATAAAGTCGATAGAGTCCATTAGCTGTACTATTTTCTCACCTTTATCTTGGCTTCCAGTTGCCCGAGGAGTATGAACTTTTACCTTGTGGTATCAGCAGCAACACGTCTGTAAGTACTTCCACGCGAATGGGCCAACTTCTTATCGAATATGGGTTCCAGATGTGCACCACTAAACTGTACAACCAGCTGAAATTCTATCACGCGATGAAACACGGCTCTGCTCTTTCTGTTTTACGCTTCGCGGGGACTGATCCTTCCCACTTCTGGTGCTTATCGTGGTTAGACAACCGCTTGGCTCTTAAAAGCTGTGGATTTTTTTTTTCACCCACAACTCCAAGTTCAAGCAAGTGCTGAAGCTGTAAGCCGAGTTTCCTGCGGCACCTACAGGTGCAGCAAGCCACGTGCACGGTTTAAGCCACTCCCCCTCCTCTAGTGCGTCAAATTAGCCAAGGTGTAATTTGAGACCGTCTCGAGTGCCGCTCGGCTCTACGCTCCCTCCTCTACTTACCAAGAGAGCAGTTCGAAACCGAGGCAAGTTATTGGCATCGGGGAGCAGAGTATAGCGGTTGTAGTCGTAGTATAGCAGCGTAATAACCCCACGCACACCCAATAGGGCGCAGCGAGAATCGTATAATCAATCAATTAAGCTCGACCTACATTTGTCGTCCAAGCCAGCTGAGCCGAAGGTTAAGCAGTCGGTGCGTTAAGCTCAGTGAGCCTTGCAAATGGAATTGTGTACAACTAAGGGAAGGGGGGATGTTTCGCTATTAGGATCGACATCCGGAGTTTGATTAAAATCGTGACTACTTTTTTTGACAGCGCGAGTGAGTGTTTTTTTGGAAAATTTAATTTTTTATTTTTCCCAAGTTTCTCGAGGCGGACGGAGAGCTGTTTTGAGGGGGGGCTTTATCGCTGTGGTGACTGCACGCAAAAAAACAGCTCGTGACCCGAAAGCGTAATACCCCCTTCTTGTAGGCACTTGTACTTCGGAACTACTCGACGACGGCGACTTTTGCCGTCCTCGAACGCGAAGAAAAATCTCCGATCTACTTCTCTCTGTTACCAACAAAACAAGTTCTCGAGCTTCTTTCCTCTGCCCCGCTATGTCGACCCTTTCGACGCTTTTTTTTTGTCAAAGCGCCGAGTACGTTTGCCGGGAGATCCTGAAAAAGTCCCTGAGCTGCGAATATCGACTGCAGCCAATCATTTACACTTCTTTTATACACTCAATCGCGTTTCCTACACGTCTTCTTCATGTAGAGTCAAGAGCTCGGAATTTTTTTTCATTTTTGGTATTCTGAAATGTCGTAAATATTTTCATTATTATTATTATTATTATTATTATTATTTTTTTTTTTTCATTGATGTTCTGGCTTAGTACAAACTTGGAGAAGTCAATATTTTTGGTGTTCATAATATACCTACTGTTATTTTTCCAGAAACATTCAGTGCTGACTATCAGAGATAATTTTGGCGAATGATATCTTTGTAGGAATAGACAAACACTCAGCTTCTGGTATTTTAATTTCCTTGTTTTTTAGTGTAGAGATAGTTCTTCAATTTCATAAATATTAAAGTATATACCAAAAGGCTTATCTCAAAGACTAAAAAATCCTTTTCCTGAAATTTCCTAATAATTTTCAGAACCCGATATTACCACTTCCCATGGGCTATCCGCAGGTACGGATAATTTACGATTTTTTTTTGTGAATACATACACACACGGCGTTTGAAACTTTTATGATGCAACGGTATATATTTAACGCACAAGCGCCGAGCGTCAGATGCACACTTTACGGTGGGATATTCTCGACACCGGCCCCGAGTGTATTATACAACAACCTCCCTCCCCCACGATATAGCCCAGCTGCCAAACACAAAGCTGCTATTCCGGTGGTGGAGGAAAGCAATGGAAAGATCACACACGTACACGCCACCGTATACCCATACGACGGAGTAAAAGCTTCAGAGAGAGAGAGAAAGAGCGAGACTGTAAGAGAGATGCGGTAAGATTCCAGGGAGTCTGTACTAAAGACAAAAGCGCTGGGGTCGACTTCACTTTGAACGCTACGGTACAGTTTGCGAGTTTTTTGCCTCGAGTGCAATGAACGTAAGCGTGCGTGGGCGCAAAGGTCATCGACGACAGACTTGTTTAATACCCCCGTTCGCGGGGGGGATAAAGAAAAGCGGAAAAAGAAAAAAAAAAAAAAGGAGACCGTGTCTCTACTTCTTCTCTACATAATGGAGCTTTCTTCGAGCTCCGAGTGCAGTGAGTATGGTGGTACCGGTAGTGCCAGTGGTGGAAGCCCGGGAGAGAAAGAGTAAGGCACGAAAGCTCGGCTGCCTTTTATGCTCGTGCGCCTGGAAATTCTCTTACCCCTCCCTTCCTCCATCCCTTCGATCGAATATTAAGGAAGACGATATCCCCGAGGCCACGCTCTCTCTCTCCCTATCTTTCTAAATAATACACGGACTTCTAGAGACTGGCTTCTCCCTTCGATCGCATAGGAACCTGTATTGCCCTCTCTTTTTACGGTGAAGGAACTCAAGATCATCGCTACGGAGCCGAGGAAGGGCTCTATGTTCTATTTTGTGGTGCGCGATAGTGATTTTCATTGAAATTTTCAAGCTACTTTTTGGATGTTTGCTCAAAAAATTTTTTTTCCAACTTTCGATGAACTTGCCCCTTCTGAGTTTCTCTCTACAAGTTGTTCTATTTTTGTAACGGTGAAATAGGTAAGCACTCCATGTACGTATCTAATTTTTTAATGACGCCCGAAGGCTCAGCTAACGAGTGCAAGAGTGACTTGGTTGAGTGAAATGATAGTACAGTTTTTCATCTCATCTTCCTTCTTCATTTTTCATTACTCCAAAAGCAGTGTCAAAAAAAAAAAAAAAAAAAATTCAATACACGTACCCGTACAAAATAAGAATACTATATAGGTACACAGTATCGTTATAAAATGTCTAATTAGTCCCGAAACAAAGTTACACCAGCTCATCACGGGCGCGCCTGTAGACGAGCGAGCTGATGTTATATCCCTAAGGTACTTCTCCCTTTCACCCTTGCCTACCGCCGCGTCCGTACATACCTAATAATCTGCCCATTTCATCATCATCGTCCCTCGCATAATCCAAAGCCCTGACCCGGGGGAGAAGAGCGCCACGCTGGCCGGCCAAAAAGCCAACTCCGTCATTATCATCAAGAGCGACGCTTGTGTCAGCAGCTCAAGGTACACAGACTTCGCAGCGGAGTTGAAAAAAAAAAAAAAAAGGGGGACGAAGTAAACAAAAAAAGGTCTAGGGCAGGCAGGTGTCGCCTTTGCAGTGGTTATCTTTTATCCGCGCGAGTGTTCAGGTATGTGTGTGTGTGCACAGAAAAAAAAAAGAGCGACACGGTGACACGTTATTATACGGTTAGCCTGCGGGGCGTGCGCTGAAAAGAGCGTCTTAGCGAGGGAGGCACGCGTGTCAAGTGTGTTTGCGAGCTTTGCCCGATGCGCGCTTGCAGTCTACGTCCTACCTCGACTTGTATTGTTATTGTTATTGTTGTTGTTACCATACCTCCTCTTGCACACACTATAGGTACAAGTATGTACGCAACTTTTGCATGCAAGTGGCTTATTGACCTTTATTTGCGGAGCTGAAGGTGTGGGCGTGCCGTTGAATTCCGGAGAGGGATAATTGCCACTTGGCCCACTGACTGGGGAAAGACGAGGGTCGATGGGATCGAGCTTCTTTTACAGCTCAAGATCCTGGGCTGGCTCTTGCAGAGGGTGTGGCATTCTCTTGTTTCACGCAGATCAAAAAGTGACGTTTTTACAGTTCTTGGTTCCGGTTCATGTGAAAGAGTCGTTGCTGATGGGAATAATGTTAACGTGCAAGTTTTTTTTCTAGGTGCGCTTTTTTCCTTGAAATGAATATATGTAAAAGGAAACTAACTATTGCAGAGGCATCGATTGTTTTTCTGCTTAAAACAGTGTCGTACAGTTTGCACAGCACTGAATTTTCGAGTATTTTTACAAGCAGTTGGTTTTTGTCCAATTAAAATTTTCCTGTTTTACGAAATGTTCATGCCTATTTTCTTAAAGAAATATTTTACAGCTTTCAATAAATCTCGTAACATTTTCTACACTATGTAATTTGGCATTCTGCGAAATCTAAAATTAGAGTTGAAGTTCATCATCGCTTCCACCATCAATCTTAATAACGTGAAAAGCAGTGTGGATCAATGATCAACAACCAAGCCATAACCCAGCTAATCACAAGCAACGAAAACGTGGTATTAGAATACACTCAAGGACCCCCTTCAATCTATTGTCGCTCGTGAGCGTACAGCCATATCGAGACTTTCCCATCTGCTGTATTAGTTATCAGAGCACTCAGGGCACGCAGACGCCAATAAACATGAGCACCCACGCACCCGAGCTCAGACGATCCTCCTATTGTCTCGAGACGAAAATGGAAATCGATTTGGGATCGTAAAATTTCATGCTCCCACGCTTCCTACACCATCGTAGTCCTCGGGGGAAGATAATAGTAACGACTGCGATAAAAAATACAAATCACTGCCGTCGCACAGTATACGTACATTCCTCCCGATTGACATAAAAATAACGTTTTCTTCTTAACCAGTGACGAAAAAAAAAAAAATAATAACTGTGATAGTAATAATAATAATAATAATCAGCCCAGGGCTAAGGTAGTCAGCCTATGAGGCGCGTGCTTTCCGGGTAGCAGATTGAGGCAAACTTTCCGTGGGTGTATGGCTCTGAGGCGCTGTGGCGGTCAGAGCGTGTACCCGTGGGTGGTTAGAACGGAATGAAATAGTTCCCGTGGACCAAAACGCTGAGAAGAAAACCTTGTAAAAAAGTTTAGGGTTGGTTCCCAAATGAAAACAAACACGGTTGACGCTAATGAAAACAATGTACCCCAGACAGTAATCTCTCAGAGGAAATCCGATGNTTACAAAACCAATGTAATCCTTCCATATTTGTTATGACCATTTTTTCCATACGTTACAAGTTTTCCAAATTCTGACGAAGGGTTGCTTTCAAAGCGAAATTGATCATGAACTATGGATCGTGCTCAACTTGAAGGCAGGGCGAAAAAGGGGTACAACGAGTCTTTGAGCTTCGCTCACGAAGGAGTGAGTTTTATCGGTGCACAGGAAGACTTTGCCCCCTTGAAATTTATGAACTGTTTGATCGCCATGGGATTACCGACGCCGTTTCAAAGAATCTAGAGATTAAGTTTCATGAGATTGAAAATAAACATCAAACGGGAGTGCAGTTTTACTTATACGTGTTATTTTATCCATCAGCTTGTTTTACAGTATTGGGAATAAAAAGAGATTTTCTTTGTTATATACTTATTTTACTCCATGAATGTGATTTCCAGATGTAAACACATCAGCGAAAACGTCGTTGGAAGTACCTCCGATGTATCCTTCCTCTGTGGAAATGTGCATCGTAAAAAGGCGTTTGAAGTTTGATATTTATCAAAGGGGCTTTCTCACCGCATCAAAAGATTGAGTGGGAAAAAGAAAGAGCCTAAAATTCTGCAATATTTCAATTCCATTTTTCTGTACTTATATATAGGTAAACATATTTTTCTCACGAAACTTTGAAAAATGCGAAAAACGTGTAACTGTGAATATTATTTTGATGAAGGAACTTTGCACTCCGTTACTCCATATTAAAAAAAAAATGTTTGCTGCTAAAATTGCATTTATTATAAGTTATCAAAAGAATTCTGGTATCGTTTGTTATTATCTTTCATTATTTGTTTGGAAAAAAAAACCTCGTAAGCCAGTTTACAGAGTACGTGTACAAAAGATGGGTATTACAATACTTTTCGAGCTTACCCGCGAAATTGTTACATTGTTGAGTCTGGCCGTACTTTGTTTAGCCGCGTCTGATAGTTGAATGAGATTTCCCTCTCAAAGTCGAGGAGTTTCCAAAGGAATTTTCCAATACTCGAACTAAAAGGATCGAAGTCTGCGCTACGTAAGCACACTCTTGGTAGTAGTTTGTTGTTTTTAATCGAAATAAAAGTATAACTTGGTGAAAAGAGCTTTGTTTTGTTCTAGAACTCGATGGATAAGAAGAATGAATCAGTAAAAAAGTCACGGAAACGAGTGCGTAATTCAATTAGTGCCTGAATTTTTTTTGTATCATTCAAAATAACTTTATCTAACGTAATAACAAATTGAAATTTACATTCCGTAAAAACTACCAACTCCTATGAGTTAAATGAAAAAAAAAAAAAATTGCTACAGCGTCAGTCCAACATCCTACGAGGACCATTCAGGTGCTATAGCTTCCGATACCGATGCATTTTTTTCATCTATCTCCCATGCACGTACGAATTTTTTTGCGGTTGACGAATTGAAATGCCGTTGCGGATTTTTATTCGACTCAGTGACTTGAATGTACACCCCAAAATGTTGTAGGTACAGCTACGCACCGGCACTAAGAGGAGTATATCTTGCATACGTGCCTCCGATTGTCGGTACTTTGTTTCCGTCGGTGAGAAGTAAAGATGCTTGGGAGACATGACGGAACGACTAGGCAAGTGTCTCTACTTTGACAATACCTGCAATGCGATGCTGCTCACTTCTTCTTCTACTACTTGGACGACTCATTTTCCAAAGTGGTTTCGGGGCCTGTACACCCTCTTTCTCTCTCTCTTTTGCTATACGCCCTTTTATTGTCGGTATTTCGAGTGCTGGAAGATTTTTCACACTTGAATTCGACTACGTGATGATAATGCATTGCGATTCAACGTAAATTGTTTCATACAGTTAATAATATTGATTATAATTATTATTAGAAATAGGATTTGTCTGTAATGAGCATATTTCAAAATTTTACCCAAAGCTGACGATATATTTTGAAATCACTGAAAAATTATTAATTTATCGTTTGACCACTTGCCTACACGTACAGGTGTGCGATGATACATAATACCTCTATACTTTTTCACACTTTTCTACTGACTTGCTTGTAATGCAATAAGATAATATTGAAAAACATTCGAATTTTCTTTGTTTTGCAACTGCATGGTGTAAATGAAAATATTCCACAAAGGACACAAAAAATGTAAACAAAAGAGGAGTTGTTCTGAAAAAGTGTACCGCAACAAAAGTCCAAATCGATCACAAAAAAAAAAAAAAAATTTTCAGAGAAAAACGGGAAAAAAGTGGGGCAAAGATAAAAAAAGAATACTAACGTGCATTGGTGTATAGCTGGGCAACATTAACAAAAAGGTTTTTTTGAGTACCTGCGCTTTGCAAAACATGACATAAATATTTACATCGATAT